AAGGTTATTTCTAAAGATTTTATTTGGGTTTTGTTTTTTTGGTTTCAGTTTTAAGGTTTGCTAGTTTGTTTGAGCTGATTCTGAAGCTTAATTTTACTGCTTTGGTTTTCTAGGGTTTGGTTGAGCTTTAATTTGAATTGGGTTTGTGTGAAATGTTGGTTGTAAGTATGAATTCTTGGTTTGTGAAGTTAGTACCATTACTGGGTTTCCTAAGAAAAATATAAGCTGAAATTTCCTGTAACTTAGTGTCTGCCTACGGTTAGGATTATCACAATCTTTATTTTGATATAAAATATAAGCTGAAAGTTTGGGTTGGAATTGGGGGCAATAGATATGAAAGGCTAATTGTGTTAATATGCATCCAGTATTTGAGAGAGGGGGCCATTTTATAAGAATCTTTTTGGCAGTTGATTGGTTACAACCTTGTGCCAGCATTAGTGGAAGTTGTTTCTTGTTTGTAAAATGCAATGAAGAGTTTAGCAATGTTATTTATATGTTTATAGAACCTTCTGTATGGTATATTTATATTTATATTTCTCTATTATCAGTTGATTAGCTACAACCTTGTGCCAACATTAGTGGAAGTTGTCTCTTTGGCATGTCCAGGTTCCGGATCTCTTACTTCACCTTTCGTAAAGGTTTCTGCCACTCTATCCAGGTTCTCTAATAGAGCAATTTACGTGCCAGTTGAAACTGGTTTTCTACTGCTTTTAGCCATATCTACTTCTCTTGAAATCTGCTCGTCAGACACTTCATTAGCTGTTTTCTCTGTGCTGCTTTGCTCTTGTGATAGTGCTACACTTGATTCCTAATATAAGATAGAAACATGAGTTATTTAGCTTGATTTTTTTACAAGTTATCTTCTTTATTAACTATTGTAGATCACCGAAGAAGGAAGGAGGATTGGGTTTACAAGTTACTTACCTCTTCAATTTGAATATCTTTACCACTTCAGTTTGAATATCTTTTGCTATGGTTTTAAATGTTGCATTGTTCTCCTTAGCACCTAGAAATCCATTCTTTAGTTGATCTTCT